CCAGGTGAAACTGGATCGTTATCCAGGGAGATTGTTTTCAGGAAAGAAGCGCACTTTTGCCGCTGCATGGTACACAACAGACCATGGCTTGAATATTCGTAAAAAGCAGACGCAGCCTTTTGTTTCCCCTGTAGACAGTTTAAAGTCAATACGTCTTCATCTGATAGAGCTTTTATTGTCAAAGGTTTTTGCGACTGGAAACACGCATTACAGACTGATAAAGGACTGCTAAGACATGCCGCATCAAAAGAACACATTTCATGGCTGTGAGAGTTTGCGGAGAGAGAGACAGATACGCGAGGAAACAAATAAGGAAATTACTACTTTGGTGCAGATCAGCTGGCACGGAACCGTTATTACGTTTATTTCTATGTTGCCCTTTATTTGTGTATGTATTTGCGATAAGTGTGCGTCTTTGTGCAATGCTGTTGGCCTTGCTGTTTGATATATATATTGTGCCACAGGCCCGCAGCACGTGACGATGTTGTGTGCCCTCCCATGAAAATCATATGCCCTCCCTTTAGATTTTTTATGGCGCCGGGACTGCATGTAGGTATGGCCCTACAATATATTATTCAAATATAGCATGATAGGTCCACTTTAAAATAAGTGGTTCAACATAGTTAACATTGCAGGAAAGTTGATTGTCAAGTCCCAAAACAAACCATGCAATATATTAAACGTTAAGTACTTTGTCAGGCTTAATATTGATCAGATACCCCCAAAGCTTTTTGCTTACATGTATTTAAAAGAAGACCTTAACTTAAAGTATTATTTATGTTTAAATAAAGCCTAATTAGTTTGTCTGTTTTGCACATCCTCCTATTAATATCTTTGTACATCCGGCACTAAACTGTTTTATTCTAGATATCATTTACAGTATCTTCTTGATATTTTCTATTCTATATTTATATCATTGACCTTCTACTTTCATCCTATTTTGTATGTAGTCTGTATCTACCTGCATTGCAATGAATCTAAACGTGTAATAACGTGCTTTAACCAGTAGGTGGTTTGGGTTAAAAAGCTGTCAAGTTTACAGTGTTAACAAAATAAAATATACTGCTGTTTCCGGTTTAGTTTACGACGGATATATTTAGTTATTGTTTTGATATTTATAACACAAAAGTGATGGAAAAAACCCACAGCAACACATAAAAGATGGTCTTAACATGACCCAGCGGTCTAGTAGTTAATAAAAAACAATAATATCAAAACAAAATATTACTACCAACTTTATTGTGAAATTAAAACAGAACGGTAAAAGAATAGTTTCCGGTCTATTCTGAGGCCCGATCTCTGTAGATAAATAAAGAACTACGACAGATGTGTAATATTTAATGCAGCCGAACCATTTATTACAATGCATTCATGTGATGACTTTCAAAGAGTAAAGCCAGCACTGCTGAATAAAGTATGATTTTATCTTTTACGAAACGTTTTTTTTTTCATATGGAATGCAGTTGGAGGTCAACCAATCACAGAGTTTGAGGACTAATCAAGGGGTTTGTGAAGCAAAGCACATGGTGTAGTCCCAAAGGATAGCTGAGGATTCTGGGTAGTGTGTCTTCTGCCATCCTAAACTCCGAAAAAATATTTGTTTCTCCGAATCGAAGGGGAAGAATACAAAAGCATTGTTCACAATTTAAACCAATCAATGTTGTGTAATTAACAAGGATAATCTGGTATTTTTGAGTTGATGAGTAGTGCGTGCAGATATCACTGTAAAATCAATCGACAGTAAAGAGAATACTTACTTCCGGGTGTAAAATCCTCCGTTATCCAATGGGAATGGACGCTCACATTGCCTTTAAATGCCGCCGACATGGACCGATGCGGTGCTTCCCTGAGCGTCAAATACCGCCGCCGATGGGAATACATTGCAATCAGTTGAAAGCTCTTTGCGTCCGTTTATGAAGCTGAAGGAGACTCGGCGCGTCACAACTGGACGCCAAAGGACCCTGACCAAGCGTCGCTCCTGGACGTTCAAGGAGTGAGACTGTGTTGCATATGAATGAGATGTATCCATAGATCTCTTCATTTTGCTCTCAAAGTGCACCAGATTGATGCTTTTAACTTCAATATTAAAAAAATAATAATCTTCCCGGGGGAGCATGCCCCTGGACGTTAGGTCCACCCCCCACTTAAATCATGTTCAAATGGATAGGATACTAAATACAGTTGCACACATCTTGTGTCCATACCTTTCTGTATTGGTGGTCATGCCACAACCGTGGGGAGGGCGGGCGCCAGCTAAAATCTTGCCTAGGGCAGCAAATTGGTCAGGGCCGGCCCTGAGATGGGTCATGTTATTACCTTTATATACACAGTCTATGGATGTAACCGGATGTCTTCTCCCTCTGTGCCGCTGCTTGGCACCGTGCCAGCGCACCAATTGTGCGCACCTGCTATTTAAGTGGAGGTGACAAATCTGGTCCCTCCCCTCTCCGCTTCTCCAAGGGAAAACCTAGAGAAATGGTTAATAAAGTTAATAGAAGATCAAGCTGCTTGCAGTTTGGGTTAAAGTAAGAAGGGACCTGCTATTATCATGTAACGTTTGTGACATAAAACGTGAGGTAGTTATTTACTTACGCAGTAACGTTGTAACTTAAAGTCATGTCCTTAAATTAAAATAAGATTTCACAACAGACTGGAAGTCCACTCAAAGCCCTGCCACAGAGGAATCCATTAACAACGCAAGTCAATACAGTTTATAACAAACTACTGCTGTTACAGCCTCAAGCTAAAAAGGCCAACCCTCAATATCACCTATATTATGTGCATGTTTTTGCAGAACCACATTTAGTGCAAATATTTTTTTGGGGCCACCCCCCAAACATAAGCGCACGCTGATGCGCTCACACACGCACGGACATACACAACCACTCAGAAGCGCCACATGTAGGCTATCAACAACAGCCTGCCCTGACCTCAGACCACCACAGCCTGACAACAACACGGCAAACTAAGAAGAGGATTAAACCTGTTTCCTTGATGTTTGTCTCTGGGGGATGGGCCGGTAGGCCTACATAGACCGGTCACTATAATATAGCTTTTGATCTTGGCGTCAGGCGGTCTCAATAGCGCAATAGAGACCCCCTATCGGTTGGGGCCCTTGGGGGAACTGTTGGACCACCGCCGGGCACAGCCAAATCCAGCCTCTCCTCCTGGCTAGCTGGAGAAGAAGGTTGCACAGCCACGGCCACGGATACAGCTTCACTTGTGGAGCTACACTGAACAAAAATAAATGCAACACTTTTGTTTTTGCTCCCATTTTTCATGAGATGAACTCAAAGATCTAAAACATTTTCTATAAACACAAAATAACCATTTCTCTCAAATATTGTTCACAAATCTGAAAAAATCTGTGATAGTGAGCACTTCTCCTTTGCCGAGATAATCCATCCCACCTCACAGGTGTGGCATATCAAGATGCTGATTAGACAGCATGATTATTGCACAGGTGTGCCTTAGGCTGGCCACAATAAAAGGCCACTCTAAAATGCACCGTCGATAGTTACGCCACTGCCTTTGAGGCAGTGTGAGCCAGCAGCTTCTGTGCTCTGCAATGTCAAATGAGTGTTTTTGTCAATGGAGTCTGGTTGTTTTGCTCCACTGAAAGACATTGTATGGATACTTTCTCGTCTGAAAACATTTTATAACTTAATGAAGTGACATATTAACAGCTTTTAGCCTGGCTCAAAAGATGGCAGGTTTTTCAATATTGGGGTTTAGCCTTCATGTGAAACGAAGGTACAGAACTGCAAACCCCACCCTGATGTTCCTTCACTTTCAGGAAGTACCATCACCCAGCCAGGTACTTTGGGGGGGTCAAATGCAATGAGTTCCACTAAACCTTTGTTGTTATTGCGGTACAAAAAACCTATAAAACCCCTCTTCAAAACTATCCCTTCCACCTGGTCTGAGGTGAAACAAGATGTGTGATGATGATGAATTAGAATTCTGGCTTATTTTTTACTGCTATAGAATGTATAGGGCCTGTTTAATGTGTCTATAATATTATTCCTCATGTGCTCTCTACTGTGAGTTGGGTGTGTACATAAATATGTTTCCATATATTGACTGATGGGAAACCAAACTGAGTCGTGTTTTCTTTCATTGTTCTGTTCTTTTTTGTTTTAGGAATCATTAACTCAGGAAACACATACCTTACTTTTTTACATCTTTGGATATGGGCATTGACATTGGTAAACTAAACTGCTACTCGGTATAGGCTATGCCCTAATCATTTCAATAAACAAATCTACCAGAAGAAATAGGCTAAAGGTCTACCTAAAGAAGGCCACAGAGTTGAATACTTTTGTCTCGTCACAGATTGAGTCAGGCTGAAATGGAGTCAGAGCTTGGTTGTGTGCGCAGAGAAGATCCAGAGTGTCAGTCTGCATCAGGCTAGACTAGGCTGCTGAGCTGCAGCAGGTTCAGTGTTTACAGCAGCACGCTCTCATGAAAGATCACGGGATCAACGTTGTTATAATTCATCTGAAGATAAATACCAGAACCATAAATGTAATACTTTCCAATAGTTGTTGAGATACCTCTGCTCTCTTTAAAGATTCCAGACTTCTTTGACAAAAACAGTTTTTTTTGCAGTTGCTGATAAACTGATTGGCTCGTTGGTGTTATTGTGTTTGGTGAGCTGTAACTGCAGCAAGTGGCAAACTGGTATTTGAAGGTTGAGACTTTCCTGTGGCTGTTTTAAATACGTTGGGTCATAAACGTGTGAGTAATACACTGACGGATAATTACCTCCCACAACCCGGCCTCTTCCAAACATCACAACTAACCCTTTGAAGCGCTTATGGGGTCGATCACATCAATGAATGATTGCAATTCCAAAAAGTCCTTATTTCCTGGGACTCATCTCACTGTGCTCCATGATGATAACACTTTCAAACAGAACTTATGACCAACTTCCTGGTTCTAGTTACAGGAAGTGAGAAGCTATTTCAGCATTTGAATAACCTGAGTCAAATCATTCATGGTGGGAAATTATTTAAATTAGGCTGAAATATTTGTGTCTTTTTTGAAGTGAAGTTTGCACACAGGAGTTCATACTGTATCAGCCCGTACACCTTTCCAAAAACAAAACATGGAAAAGAAAACTTTTCAAATACAAGAAAGTAACATTCTTTATAAATATAGAATAAATATAAAACAAATTGAATCCCACACATTCACTGTTGTCTTTCTTCTTCTTCACTGCTCTCGTGTTCAGAAATACAGTCAGAGCACATCACTCACTAATCATGTCACATGACATTGTAGCATTACTTTGGAGAACAATGTGTGCTTTAAATCATTTTAAAATGCAGTGTTTATGTAATGCAAAGTATTTCATCCCAAGTGATATTGTTGCTTTGACTCAGCAGCTGATTCTCCCCCTGAACAGACCCTGTATTCACCTGATGGAGGAGTCACCCTTTAAATCCATATATTCATGTCTGAGCAGCGACAACGCAGGGACATTTCTGTCAAGTGTGAAGATACACACTTTGTCCATTTTGGGGTGACAGTGTTGGCTTTAGCCCAAAAAAGAGTTTTTGAAAGTGCACAACCCTGTGAACAAAACAAAGACATGTATTATGTAACATGTTCCCTTTTGAAATGCCTAAAAATGAACAATGTTAAATATTGCGTATACTTACATTATCCCAAATGTTTACATTGTTTATTCGTCAAAACTAGTGACATTTGTGATTTTAATCAAGGTTGCATTTGCTCGCCTGCAGGGGCGACGTTTCCCCTCTAAGCATGCGGGACCTATGAATATTGTTCTCGTCGTGTTTTTGTACATTTGACCTCCTTAACCTCAGCTCATTTCCAATGTTTTCTCTTATACTTGTGTTTTTCTTTGTAATTTATTATTCTATACAGCCCTAAAGAAAAACCAGCATTTCATTAGTGTCTGCTTTTCATTTCCCCACCATCTCAGACACAACCACAAGCTGTGACAGATCCTTCAATTAACAAATCACAGAGCAGCATGCTGTTGAAAGTGCACACACACACACACACACACACACACACACACACACACACACACACACACACACACACACACACACACACACACACACACACAGTTTGGCAAAATACTCCTTGGTAGTTTTAACTAATCTCTGTCTCCGTGTCCTCTCCTCCTCAATGCTCTCAGCGTTCACTCCCAGTTTTTTTGCATTGTTATTCCAAAAAACAAGACAAATGTAGAATAGGAGGGGTGCAGAAGGGCTGCCACTGAGAGGTGCAGCTGTGGCATTAGGTGAAAGCAAAGATTGATCAGCTCGTCCTCCTCTGCAGTCCATGGCCGACAAAGTAAGGCAGGAAGTATTTCTGTCTGTCTGTCTGTTTGATGGCAGCTGCTGGCTGACTGCGGCCCTCTCACTAACACTAGAGGGCAGCAGGACAGACTCTCACCTCCATAACACACTGGCGTCTCACAAACACAGAAATCTCCCCACCTTTGTTGAAAATGCTCTTCCTCGTCCTTCAACACACATCCTCTTTTCCTTCTCCTCTAATAGCGTTTCAAAGCGCCGCTCACAGGCCAGGGGTAAATAAGAACAGAGCGCATGGTTCCTGGCTCCTAGGCCATGTAGAGGAAGGTGTTGATGTCCGTCTCGTCCCTCTTTATGTACTTGTGTTCGATGAGCCACTCAATCTGCTCCTTGATCATCTTCTTCTGAGGCAGGAACATGTTCTTCAGGATCTCCACCAGCTCCGTCTGCAGCTGGGCGTTACTGATTCTCTTCCTCATCTTCATGATTTGGATGATGGCCTCCTGGATGAGAAACAAAATAAACAAAGCCTTTACAATGCTTCCGGACTGTAACTGAACACAAAATCATGTCCAGCTTGGTATTTGAAATAAACTCCCTGTTAACCTTTTTGAGGATAGCTTGAATGTTTCCATGTGTATTATAACATGTATTTTCGTACCTGAGTCCTGAGTATTCTGAGCTGAACGATTCCCTCGTTCTCCTCTTCTCTCATTCGCTCAGTGGTCAGCTGCAGCCGGCCAATCAGATTGATCTTTCCACGCTTCTGGACTTTGGAGTTTTTGCTGAGAAAATAAGACAGACACAGATATCAGACATTGCATCGTCTGCTGACGTGCTGGTTAAAGAGTTTAAGTGTAGAGCACATTGCTGTTTTATCTATGGGAATAAGAACTTACATATTTTGTGATAATTATCATTTCACAATTATTTACATAATTCAAAGAGCAGCCTTTGGAAACAATGAAACCCTTTGTCTGTCTCTGGACTGAATGGAAACATGGATCAATGGGGACGTGCAGGTTCTCAGGTTTTACCAATGAAAGACTTTACTCAGGGTTCAAGAAACGTGTTGTTTTTGAAAACTGCAAAGATAACTTCATCAGTCGTCAAATGTTGAATTAAACGCAAACTATTTCTCCTCTTTGACAGAAATGTGAATGTCTGTAAGTTGTGGACAAAAGAAAACATTAGAGGAGGTCATACGACTGATCTGCATTCTTTTTACATTTATTTATACCAACATCTATAACTAATCAATCGATAAAGAAAATAATTGACTGTTAGTTGCATCCCATTTGAAAAGAAAAATATTGTCCTTATTTCTAAAGATACCATATCATACATGATCGAGAACTCCTGGTTGACGTAGAAGATGGTGCTGTCTGTGAAGTCTTTGGGGGTGCTGACAGAGGGGTCATAGGTCAGCACCTGTCTCTTCAGCTTAGGAAACGCCACCAGAGACTGCACACAGAGCAGAAAGGAGCTCAGCTTTAAACACCATCAGTGCCAAAAGTTTGATCAGATACACAATGACTAATATGACTTAGTAAATAGACTGTATACTGTGCTTTCTAGTCTCTGCGACCCCTGAACATGCTTTTACATATGGTAAGCATTCACACACTTATATATGGCTGTCAGAAAACACAGAACAATATTCAATTAACAGTAAGCCTTGTAAATGGTAAGTAGACTGCAAGGCTGTCCTGTTAAACTTGAGTTTGATCTCAGTTGCAGCAGATGGCGTGGTGGCTCTGTGGTGCAGGACCGACGAGTGGCAAAGACTACATTAAGCATGCTAAATAGTAGTAAATATCTTATAATGTCTTCTTCTAATATAATTGGTTTGAAATGGAGCATTTCAATGATCCCTAGTCTCACCCAGAGTGTGCGCCGTAGTTCTGCATCGGGCAGCTCTGTGGCCAGTTTCAGGTTGTCGAAGCTGATCCTCTCTCGGGGCCTCTGGTTCCAGGCGAACAGCACGGCCAGCTGGAAGGTGGTCACCTCCAGGTCGTACTGCCCCACCTCGTTCTTAAAGGTGATCTGAGCACAAGGGAGCAGACACAAAAGAAAAGGTGAGAAGAGAAGTATGTGGCTACACAGTAGATCCACTCCACTTTACATCCACTACCGTTATGCTACTGCTACCAGCTAGTTCATTAAGATAAGCAGTCTGCGCAGAGGTGGAAGAAGAATTCAGATGCTTCCCTTGAGTAAAAGTACCAAAACATGTCAAAATACTTCATTACAAGTAAAAGTAAAACAGTATCATTATTAGTTAAATATACTTAAAGTATAAAATGTAATAATTGTGCAGAGAAATGGCCTTTATGCATGTTCAGTGGCGTCGCCTGGCCCCTCGATAATATAATACATTAACCGTGCTTTACGTGAACCTCATCATGACACAAGAGAGGACGGCAGGACTGTAATTTCCCGTGTTCAGTGAATGCAACAGAGGCAAGACACCAGACCAACCAGAGAGTTGCATGGAAATAAACGTGTGCTTGTGTCATTCAAGCTCGGCTCTGTCTGTGTGTGTGGCGATAGTACGAGGGGCCGTACAGGCCGTAATTCATACTGGTCCTCTCACACACACGTACATTCTCCTTTTACATACGTACATTTTCCTTTTACATACGTACATTTTCACTCTCACACACGTATATATTTATACTCACACATTCATACATTCTGCTCTCATATTAGCATATTTCAATGCACACATTCATACATTGTCACTCACACATTTATAAGTTTTTCACTCACACATTTGGAGGCCCGCCTACATGAGACGTTGAAATCTCGCGGGACAACGACGCCCGCAGCCTTGAGAGCGAGGCGCGGCGAGGCGGCGCAGTTCCTCTCCACGGGCTGCGGAAGCGAAATGCTTGATGGGAAACGACTTGCTGGTATCTCGAGCTGAGCGCTCATTGGTGGTTTTTACCACGTGCTGGTGATGAAACTCTCCAATTGGCTCGGCAAAAGTTTATTGTTGATTTGTGTCAGTTTTACGTCGCCACTTCCATTAACATTTCTCATCATTGTTCCACAATATTTATCATCATTAAATTAATATCCATATATTTTATACTATACTTGCACTGCTTACCGTTTTCATACTTTATATATCTTAGCATATTCATACACACTGTTCATACTGCTCTCAGGCTGCTGTGTATCTAGTGTATTCATACCCCTCACTGTTTATTCATCATTCAATTCATTCTATATTTTATTCTGTAGATTGTGTACATTACTTTTCACTTTACTGCATACTGAATAAATATTGATTGTGAATGTATGCACAAATGTATGGCATATGGCTGTCTAACAGAAGTTAAATTCATTTCTCACTTATTCTGACAATGTACTTAACCCCAAATAAAAGAACCCAATAAAAAGAGTTGTAAAAATAATAGTGAAGTCACGTTGTAATAACAATAACTCATCTCTCTCTCGTTTTATTGTTGAGCTTTGCTAAAAGCCACTGTGTCAAGTGTCCATCTTGGGTTGCCGTCCGGAGTTGTCCAATATGGCGGACCATCTCGCACATGCGCAGTACCGATCGGGCAGGGGGACGGATCGGGTAGTGACAATGGATGTATAATAAGAACGGTAGTGACAGAGACAAGCGAGACCTGCGCAGACCTGCGCAGTTGCGATCAACGTCTTACTCGTGCGTTGCATGATGGTTAGTCATTTTGTCCGACTTGCTCTGGAGGCTCGCCTACATGAGATGTTGAAATCTCGCGGGACAAAGACGCCCGCAGCCTTGAGAGCGAGGCGCGGCGATGCGGCGCAGTTCCTCTCCACGGGCTGCGGAAGCGAAATGCTTGATGGGAAACGACTTGCTGGTATCTCAAGCTGAGCGCTCATTGGTGGGTTTTACCACGTGCTGGTGATGAAACTCTCCATTGGCTCGGCAAAAGTTTGTTGTTCTTTTGTGTCAGTTTTACGTCACCACATCCATTCCCATTTTTCATCATTGTTCCACAATATTTATCATCATTAAATTAATATCCATATATTCTATACTATACTTGCACTGCTTACCGTTTTCATACTTTATATATCTTAGCATATTCATACACACTGTTCATACTGCTCACAGGCTGCTGTGTATATCTAGTGTATTCATACCCCTCACTGTTTATTCATCATTCAATTAATTCTATATTTTATTCTGTATATTGTGTACATTACTTTTCACTTTACTGCTTGTTGCACCTGGTTAGAAGCTAAACTGTGTATATGTGCAATAACAATAAAGTTGAATCTAATCATTACATTACATTACATTGCATTTAGCTGACGCTTTTATCCAAAGCGACTTACAATAAGTGCATTCGACCAGGAAGACACAACCTTGAAGAAAACAGAATCATATAAGTACATCAGGTTTCATAGAGCCACACATTTCAAGTGCTACTCAACTGGCTTTAGGTAAGCCAGTCCTTTATTAGTATAAAAGTGCTTTGTTAATAGTTCTAACGCTCGAAGTGGAGTCGAAAGAGATGAGTTTTCAGTTTGCGCCGGAAGATGTGCAAGCTATCTGCCGTCCTGATGTCAATGGGGAGCTCATTCCACCATCTTGGAGCCAGGACAGCAAACCCACGTGTTTTCGCCGATGGGAACTTGGGTCCCCCTCGCAGCGAGGGCGCAACGAGTCGTTTGGCTGATGCAGAGCGTAGTGCACGCGCTGGGGTGTACGGTTTAACCATGTCCTGGATGTAGGAAGGGCCAGATCCATTCGCAGCATGGTAAGCAAGTACCAGTGTCTTGAAGTGGATTCTAGCAGTTACCGGAAGCCAGTGAAGGGAGCGGAGGAGCGGAGTGGTGTGGGAGAATTTAGGAAGGTTGAAAACCAGACGAGCCGCTGCATTTTGGATGAGCTGCAGAGGTCGGATGGCACATGCAGGTAGACCAGCCAGGAGGGAGTTGCAGTAGTCTAGGCGTGAGATGACGAGAGCCTGGACCAGAACCTGAGTCGCTTTCTGAGTCAGCTGGGGACGTATCTTCCTGATGTTGTAAAGCGTGTATCTGCAGCAACGGGTTGTAGCAGCGATGTTTGCAGTGAAGGACAGGTTGTTATCTAGGGTCACACCCAGATTCCTTGCAGTCTGAGTCGGGGAAACAACTGAGGTGCCGATGTTGATTGTCAGGTCAAGAGTTGGACAATCTTTTCCCGGGAGGAAGAGCAGCTCAGTCTTGTCAAGGTTGAGCTTGAGGTGGTGAGCAGACATCCACTGAGAGATGTCAGCTAGACAAGCAGAGATACGTGCGACGACCTGGGTCTCTGAGCGGGGAAAGGACAGAATTAATTGGGTGTCGTCAGCGTAGCAGTGGTAAGAAAAACCATGCGGGCTAATGACTGATCCGAGCGAGTTTGTGTACAGGGAGAAGAGGAGGGGACCAAGAACAGAGCCCTGAGGGACCCCCGTAGTTAATTGACAAGGGTCGGACTCAGACCCTCTCCAAGTCACCCTGTAGGTACGGTCTTTCAGGTATGAGGTGAGGAGGGAAAGTGCAGAGCCTGAAACTCCAAGTTTTTGGAGAGTGCGAAGGAGGATCTGATGATTCTGATAATCTTGAGCAGGAACAAATGTATTTACTTAGTACATATCTGACATTAACGATTAAACACATGTGTGCATTCTTTATAAATGCAAACCGAGTCAAGCCGACTCCGGAGGTGGCGGTATGCACCTTAAAGTTGTTTGCAATCCGCCAAAAAACCGAGAGAAGAAGAAGAAGAAGACGAAGCCGACTCCGAGATGTCCGACTTCAGGCGAGCTTTTTGAGACCTCCCCCGGCTGCGATCGGCTATTCTCGTCTACTTTCGAGGCGAGCCGCAACGCGTCTCAAACAAGCCTAGCAGCTCTGTCCCCGTTATTTCCACACACACCCCCGCCACATATTTACTGACACAAACATTTGTATCATCTGTTGTAGACCCCAATAAATAAAATCAAATAAGAACTCATTCTCAAAAAAGATAAACGCCATTCTTAAAATGTATAAACGAACAATAGTTGGATTAATATTGATTAGAGTGCACAATAGAAATAAAATAATTGAGAGAAGAAAAAGAGATATGTTATCTATCAAAACCCAGTTAGATTAACATTCATTGGATTGCACACTTTGTTTATTTGTTTGGATATGTAGCACATTAACATTTTAATAGCACTTAATGACTGACTGAATGGAAATGACAATAAATGAAAATGTAAAACGAAAAAAGCGATCATGAAAATGTTTCCAATAAATGAATAAAATGATTTGTGACCACTTTGTTGTTCAGATATATCACATATTTGTAACTAAATGATACATGAATTGAAACAAAACACGGTATAAACTGAGGAGTGACTCCCGTGAGGTTCATGTATTTTCTTCACTCCGCTGGGAAACTGCTCTCATGTCAAGAAGCATCAGATCAGTGCATGCGCTGCATCGTCCAATCAGTGAGCGATACAAAGTAAGGGGGCGGGGCGAGTGTCTGAGGATTTCATCGAAGGATGGTCTGGTGGTTCCTCCATTATCGCTCCTCCATTATCGCTCCTCGCTCCTCCGGCAGAAATAAGAGCCATGGGACGCTACTCAAGATGGCGCAGACAAATCAACTTCCGGTGAGACCGAGACCGAGGAGCGAGGAAATGAAAATAGTCGACGCTCGATCCTCGATGTGCATTTAGAGAAATGAGGGCCCAATCCCAAACCACTTCCTCGACCCTACCCCTCCATGACGGAGTGAACTCCGTCTGTAGCCACACTCGCAGCTCAACGAGGCTCCCTCCTGTCAGATGGAGGGAGTAAATACAGCAGCAAGCTTTGGGACGGCCTCCCCTCTCTCCGGCAGAAACAGGAAATGCCGTAACTGTGTGTAACAACGGTTTCAAATCAGCATGTCTTAGACAAAAAGTTTAAATGAATAACTCAAATAAAACTCCAAAAATCTTTCATTGTGTTTCAAAGCTCTTTTAGTTTTAAACCTGATGTTTATAAGCTTCTTAGTTTTTGCAAAGTCTGTAAATATA